ATAAAGTACTACCCCTCTTTTTTAACATTGTCCGATGAAATAAATTCCTCTCCCAATCTTTTATTTATCAAGATTTTCCGATGTAGCCTTGTCACATGAGTCTCTTGTAAACAGATCAAGTCCAAATGTTCTTTTTTCAATGTATGAAATACTCTTCCCCTTTTAGCCGACGAATTTAGACCATTAATATTCCAGCTTAAAATTTGTAGTGTCATTTTGTGACTACTCTCCTTCTCCTCCAGCAGCCCCAAGAAGATTGTCTATGTCTGTCGGTGGCGTTGGTTTCCCTTTTTTTTGCTGACTCTTGTCCAGTATCGCAATGTCTTTTCCCAATCCTTTCAGTAGGTCTTCTTCGTATGCACTCAGGAACTTGTTCTTTTCCTCCACTGATCTGATCTTGGTCTTTCTTCCCTTAAAGCTAAAGGATAGGCCTTGGGGAAATTCCCACCTGAAAAGAATTTTATTTTTCTCAACAAGTCCACCAGGTCTCCAAAGTCCTTTCTTAAATCAAGAAGATGTTTTGGTATATCTTTAAAAATTTCAACTTTTGATTGTATAATTGTCAAGGGTTTTTCGTAATGTAAACCCAAAATTTTGTCCCTTTCTTCCTTAGATCGAAGAGTAATCAAACAGTCCCTTATTTTAATCTTTCTTCCTCCTTTCCCCAATCGAAAGGCCCTCACGATCTTAAAATCCTCTTGTTTCAATTCCGATTTCCAAAAGTCCAGAAATTCTTGTGTCAAAAAGTCTATCAAAGTACCTTTCTCCAACTCAGGAACAGCTCTGATTCTGAGATTCGTTTGTTTGTCTTTGAGGTCTATCATAGATAACGTTAGCTTATGTTCTGCGATCTCTTTCTGTATGTCTGGTACTTTTTCAGTTTCCAACTGCCCCAATTTAAACTCTACAGCAGCAGTTTTTTCCTGTATAGACTTTGAATCTTGCAGCAATTTCTGGATAGATTCCGTATTGCTGTTTACTTTTTTCTCCAAGTTGCCTAATGTTTCTGTATTTAGGTCAATTTTCTTGTTTGCAATATCCACTTTCTGACTGGTCTCTTCCACCTTCCTGTTCGTCTCCCCCACTTTTGTAGATAGCTGCTGTATTGAGTCATTAATCTTAGACAGAGCACTAGCTAAAAATTCCTCAGACATTCCACCAGACTTAGATTGTGTTGCCGATGTAGGCAAACCAGCAGATGATTGCCTTCTATGTGTCCAAGGTTTCCCTGATCTCAAGGTTGACTGGTCCTTAAAACCTTCAGCCATAACAGAGTGAAGGTCAAGTTACTTTCCCACATCCACTCTTCCTGTTTATATTTGGAAAATTCCTTTCCTTTCCTGCAGTTACAGAAAGTCCCACTAGATGGACACTGTTGCCACTTAACAAGTTACTGTCTTTTAAAACAACAAGGGAAAGATACTAAGTAAGAGGAGAAAGAGTCCAAAGTAAAAGCCACAATATAACTTTTCAGTCTTTTCCAGTCTTTTCTCAGTAAAATTGGCCACTATGTATCTCCTTTGCAGCCAGCAAACAGCTTTAGCAACTTTGACAGCTTTGACAGCTGAGTGACAGATCACTCTTTTAATCTTTCAGTTTAAACAATCCTATAAAATCAAGAGTCTTTCCCTCAACTCTCCTAAGGGTAGATCCCTCCAAAGTCCTCAGGTCAGAAGATTACGCTTATTTCAATTCAGCTCTTCACGTTTAGCTCCAAATCTCTTTGCTTTGTTCTTTATACAATGCAGTGAAGCCGACTTCCTGTTTAAGCTTCCACCGCGGTAGCTAATTCAGCCATTTTTAAAGACTTTAAACTTTTCCGCTTTTTGCCAAAGTTCCAAATTAATCCAAATCCTGCTCTTTTGTCCAATTCCTCTACTCACGGTTAGGTGTTGAGTCCGAATTTCCCAGGAATAAGTCAGCGCTCTCCAGCAACGGCAACGCGGCTTCGCTCAGCGGGAGCAGCGATCCGCTCGCAGCACCGCGCTTCTCTCCCCCGCTCCCTTCCGAAGCCTCAAAAAGGCTTCTTTTCAGGTTGGGGGGGGCGCTTCAGGGTGCCCGCCGAGCCTCCACGTTCGCAGGCGTCCGCGCCTGCGATTTCTGAGGGTCCCCGCTTCGCCGGAGCGCACAGGACCCGATCTCCCGCTGAGCTACCCCCTCCGAACTTCAAAGGAGGTCAGCCATTGCTGCTGGCACAACCGGAAGACTCAAGAACTTGTTCTTTTCCTCCACTGATATTATCTTAGTCTTTCTTCCTTTAAAACTAAAGGATAGGCCTTGAGGAAATTCCCACCTGAAAAGGATCTTGTTTTTTCTCAGCAGAGCCACCAAGTCTCCAAAGTCTTGTCTTAAGTCCAAAAGGTGCTTTGGTATATCTTTAAAAATTTCCACTTTTGATTGCAGAATTGTCAAAGGTTTCTCATAATGCAGGCCCAAAATTTTGTCCCTCTCTTCTTTGGATCGGAGGGTAATCAAACAGTCCCTTATTTTAATCTTTTTTCCTCCTTTCCCCAATCTGAAGGCCCTCACAATCTTAAAATCCTCTTGTTTCAAATCCGATTTCCAGAATTCCGCAAATTCTTGTGTCAGAAAGTCTATCAAGGTGCCCTTCTCCAGCTCAGGAACAGCTCTAATTCTTAGATTAGATTGTTTGTCTCTAAGGTCAATCATCGACAACGTCAGCTTGTGTTCTGCAATCTCTTTCTGTAGGTCTGGTACCTTCTCAGTTTCCAGTTGCCCCAATTTAAATTCCACAGCAGCAGTTTTTTCCTGTATAGACTTTGAATCTTGCAATAGTCTCTGGATAGATTCTGTGTTACTATTTACCTTTTCCCCCAAATTGTCTAATATTTCTGTATTTAAGTCAATTTTTTTTTTTTTTTTTTGCAAGTAAATTTTTATTCAGAATTTGTATAAAGAAAAGAAAAAAGAACTAACAAATACAAAAATAAACATTTTAACATAAATTATTCATCCTATTTTCATACTATACAAAAAGAAAGCATACGTTCATACAAAAATAATAATATAACCATTAGGCTCTCCTTAGCCTTTGACTTCCCTTCACCCTTTTGGTAAGTATCAAATAAGTCCCGGGTTGCGTAATTAGTTTATTAACGTTTATAGTTATTAGCTGATAAAGTTTTTCTAATACCGCCAGCTCCTCCTATATATCCGTTCCAATATATTTCCAAAACTTACTCCAATTTTTTTGAAATTTCTGGTCGTCTTGGTCTCGTATTCTGCCTGTTAATCTATCTAGCTCGGCATAGTTGATCATTTTGACCTGCCAGTCACTTATGTTAGGAATAGTTTCTATTTTCCAGTTTTGTGCCAGCATAATTCTTGCGGCTGTGGTGGCATAGAGAAATATTTTATCTTCATTTTTTATTTCCTTACCCATTATTCCCAGCAAAAAGGCCTCAGGTCTCTTGGGAAAAGTGTATTTAAAAACTTTTTAAGTTCATTATAAATTGCTTCCCAAAAACCTTCACCTTGCTGCATTGCCACCACATATGGTAGAGGTCTCCCTCCCCTTCACCACATTTCCAGCATGTCTTATTTTCTGATCTATAGATTTTAGCCAATTTTGCCGGCGTAAGATACCATCTATAGAGCATTTTCCAAACATTTTCTCTCAAACTCGTACAGGCCGTAAATTTAATGTCTCTATTCCACAATTTCAACCACTTTTCAAACTCGATGTTATAACCGAAGTCAATTGCCCATTTAATCATTGCCTCTTTGACTTCCTCGTCTTTTGTATGCCATTCCAGTAATATGTCATATAATTTAGACAATGTTTTGTTTTTGCCTTCTATTATTTCTATATTGAATTTTGATTTCTTGTCCTCAAAGCCCATTTTTCTTTTATCTTGTTTTAACATATCATTCACCTGATGATATTGTAGCCAGCCGGTGAATTGATCCTTTATTTCCTCATACGGTTTAAGTTTAAGCCCTTGTTCTGATTTTCTTAGCAAATCTTCGTAGGTGGCTGTCTTCCCTTCCATGTTGGTTTTTTTATTGTTAAGACCTCTACTGGTGAAATCCACCATGGTGTTTTTCTTTCGAGAAGGTTCTTATTTCTTTCCCAGACCTGATATATTGGTCCCCTGAAAATATGGTTTAAGAAAGCCCTGTGGACTTTCACCTTCTCGTACCAGAGATATGCGTGCCACCCATACCGGTTATTGAAGCCTTCTAAATCCAGTAGGTCTCTGTTCTCCAATTTTATCCAATCTTTTAACCAAAGTAGGCACGCTGCTTCATAATATAGGCTCAAATCTGGGAGGGCAAAACCTCCTCTTTCCTTTTTATCAATTAGTATTTTCATTTTAATCCTTGGTCTTTTCCCCTGCCAGATGAATTTCATCAGGGTTCTCTGCCATTCTTTACATTGTTTTAGACCTTTAATAACTGGAAGAGTTTGAAATAAAAACAACATCCTCGGCAAAACATTCATTTTAACCACTGCTATCTTCCCTAAAAAGGAAAATTTCATCCTCACCCAAATGTCCAGATCTTTCTTTATTTTTTTACAAGTAAATTAATAATTATCTTTATATAGGTTTATGTTTTTGCCGTAATCCACACTCCCAAATATTTCACTTTTTCACCACCATGATTTCCACTTTTTGTTCTAGATCTTTCGTTTCTTCCTTAGTTAAATTTTTAACCAGCATTTTAGTTTTATTCTTGTTTACCTTAAAACCTGCCACCTCTCCAAATTCCTCAATTTTTTGTAATGCTTCTTTTACACTATCTTGTGGATCTTCCAAAGTCAAAACAATATCGTCGGCAAAGGCTTTAATTTTGAATTCCTTCTTTCCTACTCTAATTCCTTTCACTTCTGTTGCCTCCCTCAGTCTCTTATTAAGTACTTCCAAAATTACAATAAATAATAAGGGGGACAGGGGGCAACCTTGTCTGGTCCCTTTATAAATGTTAAAATATTCTGTTGTATTGTTATTTATCACCAGCTTTGCTTTCTGTTCTTTGTATATTGCTTCTATGCCTCTTCTAAATTTTTCGCCAATTCCCATCCTTTCCAAAGCCTTCTTTAGGAAGTTCCAGGAAACATTATCAAATGCCTTTTCGGCGTCTATGAAAACCAGTGCGGCTTTTCTGTCTATTTTCATGTCCAGGTATTCAATAATGTCAATCAAATTCCTTACATTATCCCGTAATTGTCTCCCTGGGAGAAATCCTGTTTGATCACCATGAATTTTATTAATCAAGACCTTCTTTAATCTTTCCGCCATTATGTCTGCAAATAGCTTATAATCATTATTTAATAATGAGATTGGCCTATAGTTCTTTACTTCCATAGTGTCCACCTCTTTTTTAGGGATCAATATAACATAGGCTTCCTTCCAGGTATTAGGTATCTTTCCTTCTCTCAATATATTGTTCATAACCTCTCCCAGCACTGGTGATATTTGGTTAATTAATGTTTTATAATATTTGGCCGGAAGGCCGTCCGGTCCCGGCGCCTTCTCAGCTTTCATCTTTTTAATAGCCTTTTTATCTCTTCCTGTGTTATTATCTCATCTAGTGCTGCTCTTTCATCTTCTACAATTTGTTCCAGATGGTGTTTTTGCAGAAATTGATCTATTTCTTGTTCTGTTTCCTCTCCTCTTTTGTACAAATCCTTATAATATCTTTGGAATATTCTTTTTATTTCTTTTGGTTCTTCCATAATCATATCTCCTTCTTTTATTTTACTGATCGTATTCAACTTCTTCCTTTCTCTCAACTGCCACGCTAGATATTTCCCTATCTTATTTGCGGACTCAAAGTTCTTTTGATTCATCCTTTTAATTTTCCACTCTATCTCTTGGTTAATTATTGTAGCAAATTTAGCTTGTAGTATTTTTAAGTTCTGTTTTAAACTCTCTTCACTAGGGTTAACAGTTAATTTTCTTTCATTTTCCATAATCTGTGTTAAAATCTGCTCTTTCTTTTTTTCTTTTTCTTTTCTTAATTGGGTATTTTTCTGAATCAAAAAACCCCTCATGACCGCTTTTCCTGCGTCCCACACCATCTCTATGGAAGTTTCTCCATTTAAATTCCACCTAAAGTATTCTTCAATTGTTTCTATAGCCTTATTTACTATCCTTTGATCATTGAATAAATATTCATTCATTCTCCATCTGGCTGTTTTAACCTCTCTACCTTTTAACTCCATGGAAACCGCACTATGATCAGATAAAGTTCTAGGCCAAATTTCAGACTTAATTAAATTCTGTACCAATTCCCTCGAGACCCAAATACTGTCTATCCCCCCCAGCTCTGATTCGGATTTGAAAAAAGTGAATTGTTTTGCAGTAGGGTTTTTAAACCTCCAAACATCCGTCAATCCCAAATTATTTACCATGTCGAAGAAAGATCGTGGTAGTTTACCTTCTTTCCCATCTTGTCTTTTTGTTAATCTATCCATATTCGGCGTCACCACCCCATTAAGATCTCCCATCAATATCATTTTCTGGTCCATCCATTCCATTAGTATATTATCTAATTCCAAAAAGAAAGCTGATTTTTTCTCATTCGGGCGTATATTCCAACCACAACTATTTTTCTCCATGAAACACCATCTGTACCACCACTACTCTCCCATGTTCATCTTTATACAGTAGTTGCGGGTCATATTTTTCCTTTATATAAATTACTACCCCTCTTTTCTTAACCTTGTCGGAGGTCACAAAGTCCAATCCCAATCTCTTATTACTTAATACTCTCTTGTGTTTTCCTATAACATGCGTTTCTTGAAGACAAATTAAATCCCAATTCTTTTCAACAATACATGTGCAATCTGATTCCTCTTATTTTTATTGTTCAAACCATTGACATTCCAGCTTATTGTTTTTAAAGCCATCTATTAAACTATTCTAGCTAATTTAACTAGATTAAATAGAGACTACTGTTCCTTGCTTTCCTCCTCTTGTTCTTCTCCTTCTCCTGTTAAGCTCTCCTCTTTTCTTCTTCTTCACTCCCTTCACCCTCCTCGTCTCTCTGTCGTTCCTCCCTTTCCACCTCCCCTTCAACTTTTCCCAGGTCCTTCTCATATCTCCTCGCAAATTTTTGGAGTTCAATACTGGTGCTTAATTTAAACCTTTTTCCTTAAAGTAGAATGAAATGCCTTCGGGAAACTCCCATCTATACAATATCCCATTCTTCTTCAATTGGTTTGTTAATTTTTGTATGGCTCTCTCCTTCGAAGAAATCTCGAAGGAATTTCTCTAAAGATAATAATTGGGCTTCCTCCAATATATAACCTTTTATGTGGTTCTGTTGCAGTATTTCATTTCTTATTTCCAAAGTGTTGAACATGACAATTACATCACCTGGCAGCTTTTTCTTTCTGGCTCTGTCTGATTTTGGTCTTATTCGAAAAATATTTACTAAATGGCAGTTTACCTCCTCCTCGCTCTTATTTAACCAAGTTGCCAGCTCTTTTATCATTTTAGATCTAATATTCTCATTTGGGGTCTCTGGTACACCCCTCAGTTTTAGGTTGGTTTGATTTTGCCTCATTTGCGTCATAGCCATATTGTCCAACAACTCCTCCTGCACTCTTTCTATCTCTTTAACTTCTACTCTAATTCTATCCACCTCCTTCTTACTAATTTTCGTATCTTTTTGCACCTTTTTCATTGAATCTTCCAAAACCTTAGTTCTTACTGATAAATCTTTAACCTTTCCTGTCAATTCCCCCACCACTCCCTCCAATTTCTTATCCAAAGTGTCCTGTACCTCAAGTAATTTTCTCTCAATATATTGTTCATTATTTTTGAATTCTTTCCTTATTTCGGCCATCAGACTGCTATAGTCTTTAATTTCTTTACTTTCCTTAGCATCCTCTTGCCTCGACGACCTCCTTTCCGCTGGTGTTGCCACGCCTTTTTTTGCACCGTTTGTCATTTTGTAGGCTTGAAAGGTCTTGGGGTCCACCACACTAATGTTATTCAAAAAGGGATGAGGCACAGGATCACCGATAATCTCTGATGGGTTAATAAGTTACCGGGTCTGGTGTTGGGGTATAATAGCAGATATTAGGCATCACACATCAGGCTATACACAAAGTTTTACAATCTTTACCTTTTACAGTCTTTGTCCTCTTAGAGGGTGGTATTATAGAGGTCTGGCGTCACCAAAAGTTTTTCTTTACTGGAGACTTGGAAGTTCTTCAGGAAGTGTTCTTTATGCTGGTTTAAATTCTCCTATTTGGCTTTTGGCGCATGTCCCTTTAAATCTCAAATACATGCAGAGGCGTAGTAGATCAAGGACAAGATGGAATGGCGGATAGCAAAGCCAAGTTAGGTCTCGAAATGGCTTCCTCCTCCCTTTTTTATACCCATAGGGAAGTCACTAACATAAAACCAACATTAAGGTCTGGGGAAGACCCATGCTTTCTTCCACCCACTTCAAACAAAAAAGTTGATGTTAACAATAACGTCCTCAAAAAACCTGTCAGTTAAAGCATCAACCAAATGCCCCAGAAACCTCCTTTCCTCCTCTCAAACCCGGTAAAGAGTCTCTCTATCGAAAAGAAGAAAACTCAGTATTACCTTGCTTCAAACTCTTTGTACTTTGTACTTTGTAAAATGTACTTTATTATCGAGGATATTCCTTCCCCTCGCTAGCGGTTACTTTCTTGCTCTTTCATTCACGTCTGCCAGCTTTTCGCTTTACTCCTTTATCATTCTTACCGCCAGTAGTGAATTCCACCTTCATTTGTCTTTAATTACTTCTCCGCTGGGTACTTCATTCAACTTCATTCAACGTTTCTTTTGCTTTTACTTTGATTGTTTTCCAGTGTTCTCCCTCCTCTGCTTTCATCAAAGCTTTAGAACTATTTCCCAGCTTTTCCTCTGTTGTCGGAGGTCCGCCGCTTTCACTCGGAGCCTGAGGCTTCACAGCATGGAGTCTGATGTTTCCCCTTCTCGCTGCGGCTCCAGCCTTGTTAAACGCCGGCAACACAGGCGAGCACACGCAGCCTTGCTGGGTATTTTGGCCAACAGGATATTCCACCTGTGGTTTAGGGGTTCACGGAGCCTTCGTGACCCCTCTAAGACCCCCACGCTGTTCGAGGCTCCTCAGACGAGTTGCCTCGCGCTCCTTCCCGTGGCCGCGGCGTCCCGGAAGTCCGTATTTAAGTCAATTTTTTTATTTGCAATGTCCACTTTCTGGTTCGTCTCTTCAACCTTTTTATTCGTCTCCTCAACCTTTGTGCTAAGTTGTTGTAAAGTTTCATTAATCTTGGCCAGGGCACTGGCTAGAATTTCCTCAGACATTCCACTAGACTTAACTTGTGTTACTGTCGTGGGCAAGCCGGCAGATGATTGCCTTCGATGCCCCCAAGGTTTTCCAGATCTCAAAACTGACGGGTCTAATTTCTCTCGGCCATCTGCCATAACAATGTGAAGGTCAAAGCCTTTTCCAACTATGCTGTTCCTGTTTACAAGTGGAAAATTCCTTTACTGTAATTTCAGGGAGTCCCACTAGGTGGACACTGTTACCACCATCCAAACTAGTCACTTTCCTTATTGAGTAACAGGAAAGGAAAGAGAAACTAAGTATAAGCAGACAAACAGGATACAGTTCCAAAATGTAACTTTCCAGTTATTTTTCCAGCGAGGCTGGCCACAGTATATCCACCTTACTATCAGCAGTTGGCTTTGACAGCTTTTGACAGCTGAGGCGTCTCACTGGCAAATCGCTCTTTAAGTCGTTATACAGCCCGGAAGAAACAAACCCTTTTCCTTTTTTTCCCCCCTCAGAAGGGTAGATTCACCAAAAGTTCTCAGGTCAGGAAACAACTCTTTTCAAATCAATTTCCCACGTTTAGCTCAAAGTCTCTATGCTTTACAGTATTTACAAGGCAGGGAAGTGGACTTCCTGTTTACACTTCCCACCGCGGTAGCCAATTTTAGTCGTTGTTTTGTTAATAAAGCCTTTCAAATTTTAGTCCAATTCCAATTCCAAAACTTTAATTCCAATTTCTCCTACTCACGATCGATTTTTAGTCCGAATGTTCCAGGAATAAGTCAGCGCTCTCCAGCAACGGCAACACGGCTTCGCTCCGTGAAAGCAGCGATCCACTCACAGCACCGCGCTTCTCCCCCGCTCCGTTCCGAAGCCTCAAAAACAGGCTTCCTCGCGAGTTGGGGGGGCGCTCAATGGTGCCCGCCGAGTCTCCACGTTCGCAGGCTTCAGTGCCTGCGATTTCTAGGGGTCCCCGCTTTGCCGCAGTGCACAGGACCCGATTTTCGCGGAGCCGATCCCCTCCGACTGAAGGGAATTCCTCCGTTTGCTAATGGCGCTGACCGGAAGTCCTACAATCACATGTTCCTGATTACAATCACATGCTACACAGTTACAACCGCATGTTCCCAAGGACAATCGCAAAGGCTCAACCTCTTTTCAGGAAGCACTGCATATCCTTCAAGTGTCCTGATTTTCCTGGGACATCATGGAAT